CCTGCACTGGGCCCTGATCCTTACTAGGTTTGGGAGTGGGCGTTGCAGCTGTAACAGCGTGAAACTTTCTCCGATTAAAAGTGTACGGGAACGGGTCTGGAGGGAAGTGATGCCCGCATGCCATCTCGATACTCATCGGCGGTGCCGTACGGCCCGCTAGGTGCCTAGCCATAGCCTGACGCGCTACTTGTCTGCGCTCACTCACACCTGATTGTTTTCCACCGCTGACGAAGGGGCGGGGTATGGGGTCGACACTCGCGCTCCACTACCCTACATCCCCGTTCCCACGCACATTTGAGCGGAGAAAGTGGCACACTACTGCAACTGCGAACCCATTTTCCTCGCACATGGCTAACCGACCTCGTAGGAGAGTGGACAGTTGGTCTTTACCCTCAAGAATGCTATTCTTAACGTTCCAATTTTTGGTTATTATTAGCAGCAGCAGTATGTAATGTGGAAGGTTACCAGAGAAATAATGCGACGTCGTCACGTCACACTATGGCTCAGCAATTAACATCCCCGATTTGTGGAAGAGTTGCAAGACGTGGTTGGCCGAATCATCGAGATGCGATCATTGACAGGTTCAAGACCCGTCCAGTGCTGCTTTTTTGAACCTGTTCCAACTTCGCTCGACTACGTGCCGAAGTGAAGGTCACATGAGAGAGTCGATCGTTGAATTTACAGCAGCGAAAGAGCTGTTCTTCTATGTCTTCTACTAACAAAAGATAAATATGTTGTAGGTGGAGAAGGGGCGTATCCTATCTGCATGTCATTGAATTCACAAAAATAAATGGAGCATGGTGTTACGGAATCAGCGAAGTCATTGAATTATTGAATCAGACACTTAGTTCAGTCAGGAGAGTGTGTTAGCTCATTAATCACTTCTTTGCCTATAGACAGAGAACTCCGCAAAATGTGTGACGATTAATTCAATGATCCGTGACGTTTGTATTACTGTAATTTGTATTACCTGAGTGTACTGTATAGATGAGTACAGCTGCGTGGTGATAATAATGTAGAAATATCAGCGGCTTCTTGCGAAGAACAATGAACAATGTATCACCGAGTTCGACGACCTGAAATTAGCATTTCGTTCTCGAGTTTGTCTACCAGTTAACCATCCCCCAGAGTGTTTCCTCAGTTCCGCCAAGGTCTCAGTTCAACCAGTGATTAGGAAAATTCGAGGTGAACTAGTGCCGGACGCCTTATTTCCCTTTTGGAAACTTCGGTAGTGAAGATCGGATTGCGGAATCTTCGCACGGTAATCCCTTGTCCCGAGTAATTTTTACCGCTGTTTTGAATTTGTGAACTTCACACACTTTCCACTTCTTCACAATATCTCTCAGCTTCGCGAGCAAGCACCGTTAACCATACCGCTAAATCCATCAGGGAGTCTTTCCAGTGGCATGGCCGCGGGAGTCATATGTGCCTAGCCTCAAGAGAAATTTTCTGAATTGTTTATTCATTTCAATTCATGTACCCTGCCCCCTACCCTAGTCCTGAAAACACACTTTTGCGATGGAAGAATGGAGGTTTCTACTTTTCACATGGGAAAATGTGAAGTGGAAGGTATAGGATATAGTGCAACCAGTCTAGGCTGTTTCAAAAGGGACAGAGTAAGCCCACCACTGAATCTCCTTCTCCCAGATGGTTCGTTAACCGACCACCATTGGCACATCAAAGATCCCTGAGATGCAGTAGGCGTGGTTGCGTGCTTGAAGTGAAGCGGCGGATAAGCTTTTCGTGAGTTGTTTTCATTTTGGGACAGCTAGTCATGTATTAGTGCAACACAGAAAAAGATGACAGTTGTCTCGAATCGAAGTATCCCACAGGTAGCCCATCCTATGCCATGTTGGACGGCCACGCCTACTCCTTTTCAGGGATACGGGGGTGTAGAGATACGATTGATCCCTTCTGACACCTCCCAACTGACGATATTAGCAGTAACGAGAAGTTCCGTTGTGGGGGCGTACTGACACACTGAAGACTCACCCGCGGCCGTACTCCAGCAAAAGCACTCTTACGCCCTTGACTTTATCACTAATATCGGCCAAACGGAACTCACTTTAGAAATAGCGAAACAGAAGCTCCAGAAGGCAGCGACGTCGTTGGGATGGCAAGAATAACAAAGTGAACGGTATATTCCGTGCTTGTAGAGCGACTGGGCAAAGTCCTACAAAATAAAGCCTTGCAGAGAGACCAAAGCACACTCGAAGCGGGCCAAAAGACTCGTTTCCAGTGATCATGCGCTTGAAAAATATAAGAAATGTACACTTCTTAATATGGTATCGAAGCCAACCTCTGTAAATCGAATAAAACCTATAATACTGAAAACTGCTAGAGCTGCATTCCATAGAAATAAAGTTGTTTTCAATGAAAAGGGTTTACGATTTTCCATGATCCGTTGAAGTGCTAAATCAAAAACTTTACAGCTTTCTCTGGTATAGCGTGAAAGCGACCGCTCACCTTTCATGGTCGCGAAGTAGACAACGGAAATCGTAATTGAGTGGTACCAATATCTCTGGAATTCAAGGGTCCATCCAACTGGGTCGTCGACTTTCTCGAATGGCAAGGCATACCTGAAGACTACACTACAAGCCTTGAATAGAAACTGTACACTCACCACCAGAGATTCTGATCTTTGTCCTTGTGCGAAGTGAACGGGTCCGCAGCTGCAGTGGCGTGCTAATTTTTCTGCTCATTAGTGCATGGGGACGGGATTGGAGGCTGGTGAAATGCGAGTGCCGTCTAAATACTCCGCCCGTGCTATATTCAAGGTGCAGCACTTGCGTCGATACTGAAGTCCAACAACGAGACACGTACTCAGCGGTAGAGAACAACCAGGAGAGAGAGGTGCAGACAAGTAGCGCACCTGGCTATGGCTACAGTCGTCATCCGGGCAGTTGATTAGGCGGCGAAAGGTCGCGATGCAGCTGCGGTGCGTCACGAACGTGACATCAGCTGTTTCCAGCCTGGTTTAGCAATTTCCTCCCGAGTTTTCACTGTACTTTCAATTTTTTTTCAAGGTGCGGTGTGTTATTGTCTCCATGAAGTCTGTTAGGACGTGGATCCTTTTTTGTTTTCGTAATGAAGTGTTTTTGCGACTTTCTTAGGCATTTGTTTGATTTTTTTGCTTAACTGTTTAATTGCTCGCAAAAATTAGAAGAATCTCAATCAAAATTTACCTTGTGAAGGCAATTGAAATTTTGTTGGCAATTTACAATTTCCGAGCAACTAAACAATTAAACAAACACCTAAAACACTCAAAAAAATCACAAAATCACTCACTAAAAACAAAAAAAGATCCACGTCCTAATATACTTCATAAAGACAATAACACAACTTACCTTGAAAAAAAGAAAATACAGTGAAAATTAGGGAGAAAATGGCTAAACCAGGCTGGAAACAGCTGATCGCCGCGGTCGTGACGCGCCGCAGCCGCGTCGCGACCCTTTGGCCGCCTAATCAAGTGCCCGGATGACGACTGTAGACGTTTGCTGGCTCTGCAGCAGCGCGAGCGGACTATGAAGACGAGTGCGTATCATGACCTTTCAGCGTGGGCCGCGGGAAGTGATGCAGCTGCAGAATGACTCACCTCGTTCACGGCTAGAACCAGGGTTAATGGGGGGGGGGGTGACTGTACAGTTTGTCGTTGATCTTCTAACCGGGAAGTCTGGTGGGCTGAAGTGAATATTTGGAATGAGATGTTCACCCATCTCATGCGCCTTTGAATGTTGATTACGGATCGGTCTTCCATATTTGCAACGGATTCACCTCAGTGAGGCTGCCGGAGTTCAAAGGGGAACTACAAACACACTCAAAACGAATTTCAGGCGTGATGCTGCTTCAAATGTGAGGCAAACTGCAACAAATTACAATAGTATTGCGCCATGAAGCCACCCACATCTAGCTCCGATGCCACTACCAGACAGCCTTGCGAACGAAACTCCTATTGGGTTTAGGTATGATCTCCCTAGAAGACCCCCGTACCTTTCTCCAGAGAGGTCCGCAGAAGATATGGAAGACCTAGTCGTAATAATTTTCTGAAGACGCATAAGTCGGTATATATTTCATTCCCAAGTGCCTTTTTAGCCTAACATCGTACCCTCGTGTGATATCAAAGCGAACAGCCGCAAATATTTGGGACGTGAGGAAAAACGGAGAAAATGTCCCCTCTCCAATATTCGTCGGCATCTTTTTCGCTCACGCATTCTGTCTTGTTTGCGTTGCACCATTCTGTCGGCATTTTTTCGGCAATGAAAAGAAGTAGGCCCGCATAAGAACACAAACCTGTTCCAGGGCCTCTTTTTGAAAAAAGCCTTTACGGTTTTCATTGTTATTGTCCCCTTTAACGAATTGATCATTGTAAGATGTGTATCGTTGAAATGATGAATTTGTGCAGCTCTTCCCAAACTAGTTCGGGACAATGG